ATTATTCAATATTACCTATAATTTAGCACATTATAATTTTGCAAACCAGTTGACGGCCCACCTGACGGAAAGTGGTAACCGTCGCCTATAGACATGAGCAGTACCATGAACATAACAGAGTATACTGTTTCGCCCATGATACCCCCCGTGCGTTGCCATTCCTGAGGACTCAGGTGTTATTCCTCTGTACCCTGTAAATTCACGCCATATCCCACCCTTCAAACCGAAACACAGCCATGCAAATACAACTGCTTCACGGTTGACACACGAATGGGACAGAGGTACCCAAGCAAACGACTTTTGTACAAAGTTTCCCTCTCTTTAAACGTAACGTACGCAGTACGCACTTGGTTTTACATATTGATGCTTAAAAAAATATATGAAAAGTTCAGTAATACTGCCTTGTTTCAAATGTGTCTCTTGTAAAGAATATATAATCCTTAGCTTGCTTGTTTATCAAAAATTTAAAATCAGTTTATAATTTGCATAATTGGGGGGGGGGGGGGGGATTATTGTTAGCGATGGGGTCTAACAGCCACAATGCTAGCAATGTTACTAATCAGCTCGACCTCCACGTGGTTCCCCTTGGAAACCATCGTGGTTACTTCTCGTGGAATTCTTCACGATAGCCTAACTAACCTGCTTTCATCCTCACCTATCATCTCTCACTGGTGCCCCGCCAGCGTATATCGATAACGCAGGCTGGGTTACTATTCCATTATCAACCATTAAAATAAAACACTTTTTTTTAAATCGGATAAATACATCAGCACATACAACGCACTCTGTCGACGTGGTGGATAAAATTCACTTTATCAACTCCAGAACTAACAAGTACAACCAAATATTTATAGATGGCGTTAATATGCAATACATTTTGACGACCTAGGCGGTGTAGTGGTATGTATATTGCTATACATAAATGAGATCTCAGGTTCGAATCTCAGTCAAATCAGTTTACAATTTTTAATTGTAAAGTATGGGTAACAACCTCCCTCGTAAATCATCACTAGAACCTAACCGCTTGCCAACTGTGGCAACTACTTCATTCATTTCAAGGTAGACCCCCTGAGCAGTGGACAGTTAATAGCTGATATAATCATGATGAATCTAGTAAAATATAAGTTCATTGAAAAACCATCAATCATATAGATGTACACCATTCAATGTTTTCGTGTCCATTCCGCGCCGGATGTTCGTTGCCTCGCAAAACCAACGCCTTTATTGGACGTCGCTTGTGGTACATGACCAATAAGTCAAAACATAAAAACAACACAGATGTGTCACATCGTAAAGTATTGTTGACGTATTCATTTGTCACCTACACGGAGTGGTTCGATTACGTGACATCAGTTTAGTGCGCGCGAGACGAGACTAAACAGTGGCACCGAATGATGTATATTACAATACAAGTGATATTACAATAAAGGAACACAACCATAACGAAATTATTGATACTTAGACTATGTAGGTAGAGACATCGAGCCTCAAAAACTTTTTGGCGGCCAATTGTCAAATTAGCTAACTTTTTTTTTTTACAACACAGGCGGCAAACGAGCATGCTGCTCACCTGATGGTAAGTGACTATCCCCCCCCCCCCCCCCCCCTACGTTCACCCACAACACATACGGCATTGCAGGTGTGCTGCCGGCCTTTTAAAAAGGAATATGCTCTTTTCTTGAAGGTTATGTTGTCGTATCGGTTCGGAAATACTGCTGCTGGAAGTTGATTCCAAAGAGTGGTTGTGCGTGGGAGTAAGTGCCTTGAAAAACGCACGGTGGAGGACCGCCACTCGTCCAGATGGTTGGGATGAAATTTTAGTTTATGGCGAGTTGTACGATGGTGAAAATCTGCAGCAGGTATCAATCCGAACAATTCTTCAGAGCACTCCCCATGATAAATTACCTATGCAAACAATGTATCTTGACGTATGTATATTAAATTATTTAATAAATAAAATGAACTTTTGCGTATTATAAAGGTGCAGAATTTATAAGACAAAAAAAAATATAGAAGTTATAAAGGAATTACCTTTATAACTATTTATCATGCAAATTTGTATGAAAAAGTTGACACGCTTTTCTCGAAGCGTTTGTTTGTAGACATTCTATCTATATTATCTAAGGATTAATAGTAAAGAAAAAAAATGTGTTAGCAATGAGACCTTGTTCTTAAAGACATTTGAAGTATGTAATAATAAATTATTATTGGAAGACTGGCTTTTTTAGGCAAATAAACCTGTGACGCTGCCTCTCCTCTGTAATATTTTGTACTCGCTCTTTTTTTTTTAAAGTTTCCTGCTGATTTCTAGTTATAATAATTTTTAATTGTTCTTTACAGCGATGTTTTTTTTTTTTACAACACAGGGGGCAAACGAGCATGCGGCTCACCTGATGGTAAATGACTACCGCCGCCCATGGTCACCCACAACACCTACGGCATTGCAGGTGTGCTGCCGGCCTTTTAAAAAGGAATATGCTCTTTTCTTGAAGGTTATGTTGTCGTATCGGTTCGGAAATACTGCTGCTGGAAGTTGATTCCAAAGAGTGGTTGTGCGTGGGAGAAAGTGCCTTGAAAAACGCACGGTGGAGGACCGCCACTTGTCCAGATGATTGGGATGAAATTTTAGTTTATGGCGGGTTGTACGATGGTGAAAATCTGCAGCAGGTATCAATCCGAACAATTCTTCAGAGCACTCCCCATGATAAATTCGGTAGAAAATGCACAGAGATGCAACATCTCTACGCAGTTTCAATGGGTCGAGCCGGACAGTAAGACGCCGATCGTCAACAATTCGACTTTGAATGCGGTCTAACGGAAGGAGTTGGTACTGTGGCGCTCCTGCCCACAGATGAGAACAGTATTCCATGTGTGGCCTCACTTGAACTTTATATAGTTTCAGGCGGTTTTCTGGCGTGAAATACCGTCTCACCCTATTGAGCACCCCCAACTTTTTGGAAGCTATCTTAGCTTTTTCCTCCAGATGACCGCAAAACTGGACGTCGCTAGATATATCGACGCCAAGAATCCCCAGACTCGACTTATTATCGAGGAAAGTGCCCCGAAAGTGAGGAGATACGACAAACGGTGTCTTTTTTGCGGTGAACGCGCAGACTTGTGTCTTGTGACTTGTGTTTTAAATCTTCTCAGGGAATAAAGTGTATTTTCAGAAGGAAATATATTGTTCATGTATGAATGAATTACAGCCACAAATTAAGTGCTGCAGCGTTTCTTTCTCATTGTGCCAAAATCAGCAAACACTTTTTGGGTACAAGCCTAGTTGGGCTATGTGCTTATTTAGTTTGCAGGGTCCTATGAGAATCCACTGTTGAACATAGGCTTACCCTATTGGAGGTTTTGCTAGTAGTTGCCACGCAGGCTGGCAACTGCAGTTAGGCTTTGGTGGTGTTCTAAATGGAACGCTGCTGCCCATCCATCGACCATTAAGTCTTTGTAATCAAAGTACTGTGGAGGGGGAGGGGGGAAGAGATTGCTCGTAATAGGAATCTAACAGCTCCATTGCTAGCAATATACCCTATCACGTCGACCTCCACGCGGTTCTTCCTGGAAACCATTTTGGTTAAATCTTGTGAAATTCGTCACATTGTCCTAACCTAACTAACATATCATCTTACACTGGTGCCCCGTCAGCGTATACCGATAGCGCAGATGGGATTATCATTTCATTATTTTAAATAAAAAATAAATGGGGGAAAGGGATTGTTAGTAATGTAGGCTGAGAATCCCATTGCTAGCAATATACTGAACCAGGTCGACCTCCTCGCGGTTTCCCCTGGAAACTATCATGGTGAATTCCTGATGAATTCATCATGATGGGCTAACTGGCCTGTTTTCATTCTCATCTATCACCCTTCACTGGTGCTCCGACAGCGTATCCCGTTAGTGCAGGCGGAACTACCATACCATTTTTACCCATAAAAAAAAATCAATGCACTGTCGCTTCTGTCAGTTGTCTATGACATGAGTAGTCGTCTCCCGCGCATAATTAATAAACAACATGAAGTAATCGGTCAAATTAACACAACAATATGGCGGCCGTCCGGGGCGTTTTGTTTGCAAATTCGTTTTGTGTCTCGCTCGCGCACAGTAACGATTCATAAAGACAGCTGTAAATTGTATGTGATGACGGTGAATTGTATTTTTATTATGTGTATGAGAGGTGCCAGTACCAAGTCTATGCATTTGTACTTATTTTATTTAAGAATAAACATTGTTATAAAAACATATCTATATAACTTAATACCAGGTTTTTTACGGTATTATTAACAATTTTTCTAAACAACTTTTTACCCTTCCCCCTAACCAAACGTTAAGATATACCCAAATGACCATTTTTACCTAAAATTCACAACAAATACTGCCCACGAAAATAAAATAATAATAAAATACAATACAGTCGAGGTATTCCCCGTAATACATAAACGAAAAGGCTTGATAACTTGGGAGATTTAAATTCCCTAGTTTATTATTGAAATAAAAAAAATAAAACAATGTTACGTAACGCGTTGTTTGAACCCCCCCCCCCCCCTCCCGACCCTACTTGTTTATTTGTTTAGGCATGTCAACAATACAAAATACATTAACAAAACATACTCGCACATTACAAAAGGGAAAGTATAGTATTTGCATCATTTATAGATATACATATATACATATAATGCATTGTAATGTTTATTTATATATAAATATTGTGTGTAGTTTCTTTATTATAAATTTTATTTTTTTTTAACCCCTGTGTGGGTGTAGTCGCATATTTCTGTAAAATTTCTTTCTTTTACAAGACTCCCCCAAATTACGTTACGTAATACTTGAACGCTTCCTTGATGAAAATGGAGTGATCACCCTGGCGGCTGCAGTATTATTTAAGGTATCAGGCCAGGGTATCGTTGCGAAACCTTGTTCGCATTCTATTGTGAGCTCCAGCTAATACTGGGATGGGCAAGGATCTCAATACGCCTATGAGTGGGTAATAAACTTACCTCTGTATAGGGGTGTCCGCCGTGGGGCCTGTGATCCCTCCGTGGCGGCCGGTACTGCGTTATCCGGGGTATGACCAGGGGCGGCCTCGCATCTCGACTGTACACGGCACATTCTTCAGGAGTTATCCACTGGAACAATAATAACAAAATAACAGTGAGATAAGATTACTAGGCACACTTACTAGAAGGTCACAACAACGATATTTGTATTGTATCAATTTTGTTATAAAATAAATATTTTTCATTTCATTTCCAAGATATGAAACCTTCAAAAAATAAACGAGTTTTTTTAGAAAAATAAATTCTAAACAACTTATAAATTGTCTCTTTATTTTTCTGTTTAAATAAACAGTACTTAGTTTTTATAACGAGAAAGAAAAAAAAACATTTATTCATCATCATATTTTAGGATATGGTCTGGGATAGAATTGGCTGGAGGAAGATGCATGAATTAATTGCACCGACAAGAGGAAACTCTTAAATGAAAAGAAGATATCAGCGTTTAAATATCCACTGTTAACATAAGCCTCCCCCTTAGAGGGTTCTGCCAGTATTTGCCACGCTTGGCAGGCGGATTGGCAACCGAAGTTAAGCTTTAGAGATGTTTTAAGAGGGGTGCTGTTACCCATCCCTTGCCCTCCCTTAGTCGCCTCCTATGACACCCACAGGAAAGGAAGGGGTGGCCTATTCTATACCGGGACCACACGGCGACATTTATTGCCAACAACAAAAAGAATTATACTAATTAATAATAGAAAACAAACTTCATATTTGTTACTGCCAACATGGCTGCCACTCAGCATGCGCTGCAGTAAATTAATTGCTGAAGCGTTGATATTCTGTGATGGTTACGCATGATATCACGAACGACAATAGTAAAAAAATAATTGAAGATACTGTGTCTGTCGATTATGATAATTTTGTATTTGGAATGTTTTTTTTTTTAATTTTAGTTTTAGTTTTTTTTTTTTCAATGTATTTTATTAAGTCTCGCATCCGAAAAGTGGTTTCTTTTTAATGCATGATAATGGAATGGTAATCCCGCCTGCGCTATCGGTATACACTGGCGGGGCACCAGTGAGAGATGATAAGTGAAAATAAAAGAGCAGGTCAGTTAGCCCATCGTGATTAATACATCTGGAATTCAGCACGATGGTTTCTAGGGGGGACCACGTGGAGGTCGACCTGACGGGGTATATTGCTAGCAATGTGACTGGTAGTCCGCATTATTAACAATCCCTCCCCCCTCTTACCAATTAGTTGTCAACGTGGGCAGCTCAGCATAATGCTGTTTATTGACCATTAAATTTAAATAACAGATTTTGTCACAATTATGGTTATGTCGCAAAGTCGTTTTTTTTTTGTGGGCCATAATCTTTTATTATTTTGTCTACATACTTTGTTTGATATAGCGTGAAAGTAGATAAATAAATACAAACACTTCACCGTATAAAGCTGTCATCGATAAAAATTGAACATACGCGAAACAATATAAAAAACAATGTTACGCTTGTTAATTCCAACGAGTTACATTAAGAAATTAAAATAGCACTCTGGAGCTATTAAATATTGCATCGAATAGCGTGTTCTCTAATGAAATTATAGCACAAAAAACAATAAAACTTTACTAGAGGGAGATTTTGTACAAAAATCGATTGCTTGGGTACCATTGTCCCATTGGTGTTTCAACCGTGAAGCAGTTGTGTTTGCATGACTGTGTTTCGGTTTGAAGGGTGGGATATGGCGTGAATTTACTGGGTACAGAGAAATATTACCTGAATGCTCAGGAATGGCAACGCATGGGGGATAGCATGGGCGAAACAGTAATACTCTGTTATGTCCATGGTACTGCTCATGTCTTTAGGCAACGGTCACCACTTTCGCACACACAGGTGGGCCGTCAGCTTGTTTGCCATTCTAAGTTATATAAAAAACAAACATAATTATTAAAAAAAAAAGTCTGTCTGTATGTATGATTGCTTCAACATTATGCAAAAACTACGATATCAAATTAGATGCGGTTTCTCGTAGTGTTCCTGAAAATCTAACTTGCTTCATCTTGATACACTAATCTAGAAGTGGTTATTGGTTTTCCTACTTTAAAAATATACAATACGCAATAAGAGCTATTAAAAAATGCCAAGCCGTCTGGCCAGTGTCGTAACAGTAGAATACTCTTCTTTTACCGGTTTTTACGTATATGTCAAAGTTCCTGATAATTAATCGGTTAAGGTGCCCAAAAGTAACAAACAAACATAAATTAGCAAGAAATTATCAATATTATGCATTTATATCTCGCCACTGATAATGTTCATGTCTATAATATATCGAGTCATTATCACAGCTCGTACATTGCACGTTCACAATGTCATAGGCGCTGTATAAAATATTGACCACTGTTACACAGACATAGATGGAGACAGATGGCGCAAAGGCCCAAATTATTAAAAAAAAATATACTCGTCATATGTATGTGGGCTGAAATAAATGTAGCCTATGCTCTACTTCATGGCAAGTGCATACGCGCATGAGAAATTTAATAAAGATTGGTCTTGTCGTTAAATTGTTACAAGAAAGGTAGATAGATATATAGATAATTTATTTATATTACTTACAGCACACAAATTACAATAAAAAAAAAACATACACGTAATACACAGCAAAAGAGACAAAAGAATAAAAATAAAAAAAGCACAAATAAAAAAAAATACAAAAACAAAATATATAATCTAACAATCTCCTTTGTTACCATTCCTTCATGCGTGTGCCATAGTAACACAAAATGGTCACAACTCAGTTTATTGCTTTGCCCTTAAAAGAGCAAAACACTGATATCCTGCTGTGGCCAAGAGTCAGTCGCGAAACTTAAGGTAATTTAACAAACAAACTATTAACCCTTTTAGTGCCATTGATTTTTACTCATATCTAGTTAAAAATGCCAAAAATTATGCAATTTTAAAATTTTCTTTTAACAGCAAGCTAAACAGCGACTGATTTCACGAGCGCTATACCGCTCGTGGTACTTTAAGTTGCAATGCGCACGAGCGCGATGGCGCTCGTCGGCATTCAAAGGGTTAAATAAAAACTGTATCGACTTATGAAATCGAAAATGGTTATGTACGTTCTTTCAAAAGTTACTAATGCATTAAACGGAATTAAGGTCTAGCTAATATAGACCAAAACGTTTACATTTACAACACGGGCTGTTGCGTCATCTATTTCAATGTATATCTGTGGTTAAATTGTGAGACAAGGAAGTGCCTGCAGACAGTATCATAAGGTCAATAGTCAATTCCAACGGAACGGCGCGATGCGGGCTGACCAAGGTCTCTGTATGTAGATATAGCTGTATTATTGACTAGCTACTTGCAGTGAGCAATTTCCTACGCGTGGATTTCAAAAGTAGGTACACAATTGCGAAAACCGCATACAATTTGGTATAGCAGTGTTTAAGTGATTTCAAAACAAACATAGAGACAGACAGACACGCGAAATTTCTAAAACTATTGTTTTAGCCTCTGTTAATCTTATTTAGACCCCTCATATTATTTTTTATACAACTTAGAATGGCCAAACAAGCTGACGGCCCACCTGATGGAAAGTGGTAATCGTCGCCTATAGACATGAGCAGTACCATGAACATAACAGAGTATACTGTTTCGCCCATGATACCCCCCATGCGTTGTCATTCCTGAGGACTTAGGTGTTATTCCTCTGTACCCAGTAAATTCATGCCATATCCCACTATTCAAACCGAAACACAGCCATGCAAACACAACTGCTTCACGGTTGGAACACGAATGGGGGCAGAGGTGCCCAAAAAAACTGGTAATTTTAATTGGATATGAAAAGAAGAGTTAACTCGTCCTCGGTCAGCAAATTGTTAATATTATGCACAAGTCAATTATCTCTGAAGGCGCATTGCACAATGCGTGATATAAATATTTATGTTTGGTATGCAACACGGCTGTTGTATGCACCTGAGTGCGCGCTTACCTTGAAAGAGCCTGATACGAGTATATTTAGAAATGCGGATATAATATTTATGAATCATTCAACTCTCCGCCGTGAACGGTATACCTGATATATGTTTACGTTTACAATAGTTTTGTTTATTAGATAAAAGGGTTTGTGAAAAAAAAAACAAACAGCTTAAAACATCGTTCTTTCGTTTTTGAATACCCTGTCAAGTCGACCTCCCCGCTGCCCCCCCTGGAAACTATCGTGCTGAATTCCAGGTGTATTCATCACGATGGGCTAACTGACCTACCTTTTCATTTTCACTTATAATCCTTCGCTGGTGCTCCGCCAGCGTATACCGTTAGCGCAGGCGGGGCTACCATTCCATTGTCATCTATTAAAAAAAAAAACCTAGTCATCGGCTTTTACTTTTTAAAATCACCAGACGGTACTTAACAATGATTCACGATCACGTCACTAACTTATGAATGGGAGGCTGTAGGTATTTCACAATATACCGGTTGTGTGATCATCTGACCTTGACCTTAAATCGTGTATTAATGATCTAGTAGGTGTGTTGATGACTCTATAATAGTTTTGCACACCTACAAACGAGTTTCTGTCTATTTCTTAAACATAGTGCTTATTTTACTATGTTTTGGCTGTATACAAGTATTTCCTTTGTTTTGAAAGAACGTTTGAAATAAAAACAGCATCTTCAATCGTGACATGAAATATTTGAATTTAGAATGTAGAATCCTATCTATTATTAGATTCTGCCTCACGATATACAGATTTTTTTGATACATAGAAAAAAATAAGCAATTTCAATCGTCACGAAATTGAAAGTGAATTTTAGTCAATGATTACAAAATGATTGGAAAACTAAGTCGAGCCAACCTTTTTTTTAAAAGCATTTACTTCTGTAAAGACCTAAGAACATGGAATTACACATAAAGACGTACTCAGAGCAAGACAAAAAATATTCCTGATCTTGCCTCACACATTTTCGTGTTTTGCTTTTTGCTAGCTAACGACTGATATGACGATCATCATCTGTTGACTTCGGTAGTCTAGCGGATTAATAAACCGATGATCGTGGGTTCAATCTCCGCAGAATATAAATATTTGTATTCACGTATGTCTGTTTATATTTGTATGTCTATCAG